GGAACAAGAGTAATCAGTGGGGTGGGTGAGCACAGCAAGAAGCACACACACCATCACAAGCCACACATGTACCTTTAATGAGCTTCAACAGAGGAAGCAGCGAATGACCGGCCAGCAGATTACCAGCTTGACTGCTGCCGTGGGAGAGCATTTATTTTGGACATCATGAGCAAGAGCAACGTCAGGAGGCATGTCACGGAGCAACGGGTTTACGATGCCACTGGATGAAAAGTAGAAGTTTATTTCCCTTCATTTCAAGTTATTTGGTATTTATTGGAGGATAGGTCTGGGAGAACAGAAGTCGTGCAGGTTAACATCTTCTACTCCAGTTTCACCCAAGCTAAAGCCCTAGTAGTTGTAGAGTCAGTGCAAGGGTTTTGTACTAGCCTTTCATTAGTTTGATATTACGATTGGAAAATAGGGCCCTTCTAATGATGAAATAGGTGTGTGGTAAGCCTTGTACTGCAACACCTAGAGGAAGCTGGTGATTCCTGCTTATTTTCCTTTTGTATTAACAGGAACAAAGAAAAAAAAAAAGATCAAGTGTTTGTATTAATAAAACTATAGAAAAAGTCTCTTTAAAAATCACTGGCAAGGTCCTTCTCTTTAGGACGAACTGAAGAAACTCGGTGACACTTCATCCTGCTTAAAAAATAACTAGAACGGGTAGTATGCTTTGGTAAAAAAATCAGAAACATCCGTTCCCTGTCCCAGTTCCTTTTCACTGAATTTAGAAGTCCACTGATGTTTCAGAGTTAGCCCGTCTCTTCAGTCGCTTCACAGACACAAAGAATTGTAATCACAAATCACATTATGCTGTGCTCAGCTTTCAACAAGAGGAACAATGCTAGTTGCATTTAAGCAGCGTCTCCCAAGCAAACATCTCAGCTGTCCCTTCTTTTCAAAGACATCCCTCAGTTCTTTCTCAAATGTATGCATGTTTCTCCCAAATGTCATGACTCTGATGTTTTACTGTTGAACAGCAGAAATTTAAGAACTGTCAACTACTTTTCCCCCCCTGTGCAATGCCAGGTCCCAGTCCTGTACAGGCTGGGACACGTTTTTAATGCCATGTCCAGTGTGAGTAGTTCCACTTGCTAGAATTGATCCTAGTCTGGATAAAACTAAGCACACATGTAAATCTTCATAGAGTAGGGATTTTATTTTTGCAGCAGCAGCTCTGGTTTCCTTCATGGATTTCTCCTCACCCTTAGCAACAGGGCAATGTTATTCACCAATAGGACAATAGAGTTGGTAGGAATGGACAACATTCACATTTTCAGAAGAATCCTTTTGTTATGTGCCACCTCTTGGGTTGCGGGCCATGTCTGGGGCTGAAAACTATGATACTTATATTCCTAGCTCCCATGGACATCAATTACTTTTCTTTTAAAAATAAGTGTAACATTACCAACTCTAGCAATTTTATTGTAAATATCACAAAATTTATTATCTTTCTGAAAGGCCCAGTTCCTGGAACCTCACGACTTTTTGGCATAGCAACAAAGTGTGGATTTCTCTATGATGCTTGTGTACCAAAACTAAAGCCTAACAAAGGTTAGAAACTGACATTTTAACCTGACTTTCTGCAGGTTATTCTGGCATGACTGGAGCTAACAGAGTAGAAAGATGTCCTGTGTTATGCCTCTGGGTATTTTCATCAATACATGCAGGTTTCTGACCAGTCAAGCCTTAAGATCCTAATCCTGCAAGCACTTGTACCTGCTCAGAATCCCACTTTGAATGCAAACAATCTTTTCCGGAAATTCAGGTGGAGCAGGTTCACAGTCACCAGCCGAGACAGTAGCAGTGTGCTGGCCACAATGGACACTGCTAAAGGGAAGACCACAGCCCACGTGGATTGTCTGTCATGGTAAATCTGTGCCTGAACTTCAGCAAATTTTCATGGACTGTATTTTTGGAATGATTATCTGCTTTTGCTGTGAATACTCTAGGTTTGCTAATGCAAACTGAAGATGGGACAATTATCAAAGATGGGAAAGGGGGGAGGGCACCCACAATAGGAAATAGGGAGCCAGAAAGATGCTGAGAGGACAGAATGCAATAAATGGCAGAGCATGTTAAGGAAGGGGGTGCTAACAGGACTTTTCCACCCCAAGAAATGCTGGTTACCTTTCTCCCCTTTAGGGCTTTGGTGTGGAGATGTTAGGCCAGTATGGCCCCATACAGTCTCTTTGAACTTAGAGAGAGTGCTACATCCTAAATGTACACCCTTTGATAGCAATTTAAGCTTGGTGGCCTGTGAAATCTGCCTCCCCACCTCCTCTCATGGTACCTGCCACGGCACGGCAGGGCTGCTGTCTGTCCCCGTTTGGGAAGCACAAGAATTAGACTAGTGGCTTCTGAACTCTTCCATGGGGAACAGCTATTAGGAAGCTCCAGGGCAAAACCTTCTTGCTGCCCTGGTGTCTGTTTTGTCGTGAGCTTATAAAATTCTTTAGTATTTCATCAGAAGGGGAAAAATGTGTATGATTTCATCTACACTATGCGACTGTTCAGTTTTCTCTGTGCCCAGCTAAAACATGAGGTGGACTTGGCAGTGTTAGGTTTACGGTTGGACTCGACGACCATAAAGGTCTTTTCCAACCTAAATGATTCTATGATTCTATGTTTGCTTCTAGGCTCTCACCTGCTATAAGCCAGCACACAAGCACGCAAATTTCTGACTCCATGGGCACCATCCCTGCACCTTGATGAGACAGTGTGCTGCCAGACCCCTAGCAAAAACATTGGAGAGCTGAGGAGAGAAGGAGCTCCAGGACCTCTTCATCGGTGGGAACTGACCAGTTGCTGTGGAGTCCTACCAAGCCACCGTGGGGCTGTGGAGTCCCATGGTCATCCAGTAATGGAGAGCTGAGGTGCTATGGGTTTGACTTTGCCAGCGGCCTCCGCACTAGCTAGCTCTGTGATCATTGTAGCTCCAGTAAAGGATCCAAGCACCAGATGTATAGTGCTAGAAGATGTGCATCATCCCAGTCCGGCTACCCTGAGGTAAGGCGGTCACTCGATAACTTTTTCATCTCTATAGTGAAATGGAGGACCTGCATCTTTCCAGAATCGCCCTGAGCACTGCTGCCCTCAGAAAGGCTGAGAGACCCGGCAGGTCTCACAGCAGCGCTGTGTGTGGCGAGGCCAACCGGGCTGTCCCACCGCAGACGGGCACAGGCCCTGTCCCCTCTCCCACCCCAGAGTGGCAGGGTCCCCTGCCCCGCTGCCTCCCCAGAGGGGTCCTGACAGCACAGGCAGGCTGTGGCACAGAGCCAGACATGGCCGCCCAGCTGCGTGGGGCAGACCGGCCAGCGCCACACTCCCGCCCAACGCCAACC